GGGCAGCATACAAACCTACTTTATCACCTAATTAATCATAGAGTTAATCAATAAGTATTGTATAACTAATTAAATCCAAAACTTGATGTCTTTTGGTTGTGTTAACATCAAATCAAATGGGGAATTGTCCAGTAAAGATATAATTAATTCGAGCAACAACGAGAACTTAAATTCAAATATAAAATATTTGGATATAAACAAACTTAAGCTTACAATTTTCTAAAATTTAACATTTGATCAATTCATTTTTTTTCTTTTACAAAATATTTGAGAATTTCTTACGAAACCAAATATATATATGTGATGTAATAGAAATTTGAAACATACATGGTAGAGTGATCAAGTAGATGACGGAATGTTGTGAGCTACGCGGGTTCAAAGCCTCCTCAAAGTAAAATGACAATGAATTATTTTGAGAAACCCGGAACCGATGACTATTAAATATGCATATATGATGTAATAAATAGATGGAGCATATATGGCAGAATGGTTGAGTAGCTGATTTGTTTTTCTCAGGTCCCGGGTTCGAATCTTCTCTAAGCCAAATGAGAATATATATATATATATATATATATATATATATATATATATATATATTTTTTAGCAAAACGATGTCGTCTTGGGTCTAATTTCCACGTATTAACCTTAAAAAATCCACGTAATCATCCGTTAAAATCCATGTAAGACTCCGTTAACCTTTGACTAACGGAGATACGGTCAATGTATGAATTTACCAAAAAGTGTTTGTTGATGTATGAAATTTGAATATAATTGAAGTTGAAGTATGTTTTAGCACAGGGTGTGAGTTTATGTACTGATCGGGACCGCAATCCCTTGTTGGTGTATTAATTGGCCGTTATCCCCCTACTTGGACTGTGTACCCAGTGATAAATCGTCATCTATCAAGGTCAGCTGCATAATGACTATTACAGAAACCCTTTACTTCAAACTTTTCTTCTTTCTTGAACGTCAGTCTCATATTTGTAATTCCCTTGATATATCTTATTAACCATTTAACAGCATTCCAATGCTCTGTGTCATGTGAACTCATGAAATGACTAACAAGACCAACTGAATATGTGATATCAAGACTCCCAATCATTGTGTGATCATCGCATACATAAAGCTACCGACGGCATTTGAATAAGGTATTCATTCCAAAATCTTTAGCAGGAATCAAAATCTTCATTTCGAAGTCACTGCTTAGTAACTCCTTTAGCCTATGTATCTTCTTTAGATCTTTAGCAGCTACTAACATGTTGTCTACATATAATAGTAAGTAGACCATGTTTCCTTCTCAATACGACTTCAAATAAGCACAGGAATCGTGTAGATATCGTTCAAATCCCTGAGAATTTGTATTTTTATTGAATCTTAAGTTCCACTGTCTTGGGGATTCTTTTAACCGGTAGAGAGATCTCTTTAACAAGCAGACTTTATTTCCCTTCTTGTACCCTTCTAGTTGTTCCATCAAGATCCTCTCATCCAAATTCCTATGGAGATATGCGGCTTTAACATTCAATTGTTCTAGCTCCATATCTTGATTTATCACCAGAGACAATAGAAGCCTTATAATAACATGTTTAACAACCCGAAAACATACCTCATTATAATCAACACCTTCGATCTGAGAATATCTCCTAGCCACCAGCCTGCCCTTAAACCTTGGTCCCCCAACTCCTGGAATACCAGGTTTAAGTTTTTATATCCATTTCAATATTTCTCTCTCGTTCTAGTCTATCAATTAGAATCTAGGTGTGATTTTTTTCTAGAGAACCCATCTTCTCATCAGATGCACCAATTCCATTTCTTTCCATTTTTACTTTGAATAGCTTCCCCATATGTTAGTGGTTCGTCTTCTTCTATAATGTGAGCCATTACTAGGGCATTGGCAGCTACATTCCCATCATCCAATCTTCTTGGAGGTATAAATTTTCTCTTCTTCCTATCTCTAACTAGCATTTAGTTGCGAAGATCATTTGGAGATTCTTCCTTATCTGATTCACTTCCTGAGTCTTCCTTTTGTTCAATCTCCAAAGAAGCTCCACCTGAAGATGAAGACATGATGTGATTCTTAGTAGAAGTATCATACGGAGCAGAATAGTAACTCACTTATGATTTTTTCTGTTAGTAAGATCCTGGGAACCCGCGTCAATGTCTTTAAACATCACATTCTCATAGAATGAGGCACTTCTACTCACAGCAATTTTTTTCTCTTTAATTCTCCAGATTCTATAACCTTTTACCCCTCGAGGATATCCCAAGAAGACTCCCTTCTTATCTCTAGGCTTTAACTTCCCTTTGATCACATGATAGTATACTAGACACCCAAATCTTTTCATGTGATCATACTCTGGTGTCCTTAGTGGTCAAACTTTTTATGGAACCCTTAAATCTGAGGAATAAACGGAGTCTTGTTGATCATGTACACCACTGTAGAAGATGCCTCAGCACAAAATGACTCACGTAAACCCATCTCACTAAGTAGACTTTTAACCTTCTCAAGTATAGTGCTATTAAGACTCTCTGCAACCCTATTCTGTTGAGGTGTGTAAGGACATGTTTTATGCTTCAGAATGCCTTTTTCTTTACAGAAATCATCAAACACCTTATTGCAGTATTCTAGGCCATTGTCAGTTCTAAGGGATATAAGAGTTTTTCCACTTTGGTTTTCTACTAAATCTAGCCACTCAATAAACTTCGAGAAAGCCTCATCTTTTGTCTTCAGAAAATAAACCTAGACTTTTCTTGAGAAATCATCTACAAAAGAGATGTAGTATTGACACTTTTATAGGCTTGGCGTGGCATTAGGAGAGCCCTACAAGTCTGAGTGTACATAAGCTAATGGTTCATAGAGTTATGATTACCTTTCTTGAAACTTTCCAAGAATCCAATGCTCACACACTTGCATGTCCCCATGTCATCTTCTTTTAAGGGATTAACAACCTATTTCCACATCATAACTATCATAACTTTGGACATCTTTCCAATTGCACACAATTTAAGTTTATAAACTTACTGTTCTCCAAAACGAAAGATCAAAACGCGATTCTCCCTAAAGTTTGAAGGAAGAACTAATACCAACAAATACCAGTTTAAAGTAGGTTTAGTATTCTTTGTTTTAAAACTAAACGAGTGGTTAAGTAAACCTAATATGACCTTATTACGATCCGATTAGAGATGTAAATTGGATTAACCATGCAATAACTTAAAATTAAAATCCCTAGAGTCCTAAATCCCCAAATCCAAAAATTTGTGTCTCTCTCTCTCGCGACTTGGACATTGACGATGAAGACTGAAGTGAAGACTGAATTTTCCACACCATGGAATCTTTAACGGCCTTGCACATGGTGTGTTTCTCACATTCAAAAGTGCATACACTCAAAACGCAGTGTATAACATCTTGGACTAATCTGAATAGTAGAAACTCCTGCTGGACCTCCACAAAACTTGTCTCGGCCCAATCCTTCATCCGTCAGCCCAAACCCAGAAATGTTAAACCAAACGTGACATGAAGAATCAGTAGGACTGTCTGAGAAGCTTTCAGAAGAGGATGCAGAGATGAATAAGTCATGTAGCCAAAAATCAGAGACTGAATGTCAAGTTCATCACGGAGCAAGAGTACGATCAACTCTGCCTCTGCAAACAAAAAATCAAGTCAAGTCAGTAAAAAGGCCTTAGGCACGAAGGAAATACTCCCTAGAGATACAAGAAAGACAAGAACCTCAAATAGTTATGTCGGGTTTCGTATGGAATATTCGAGGTTTTAACAAAACTGTGAAACATACGGTAGTGAGAAAATGGATTACTAGTCAAGGGTTTCAGTTTAGAGCTCTACTGGAAACACGTGTGAAAGAAGGAAAGAGTCATAGAATATTGAATTCACTCTTTACGGATTAGGTTATGATATCAAACTAGCATTACAATTTGGGAAGAATATGGCTAGTATGGAAACCACATGTTCGGATAACTCATCTCTACAAAAGTGACCAGTTAATCACTGTCTCAGTTCAGCTGAATGATAGTGCTGAAGAGCTTTTCTTCACAGGTGTATATGCTAAGAACACAGAACTTGAGAGGAGGGAGCTCTGGGATGACCTCACACATCATTACAACTCACCGGTAATACGGAAACAAGCTTGGATAGTTCTGGAGACTTTAATAATATCATAGATGTGGAAGAGTAACTGTGACTCAGGGAATGCATTATTGAACTCTTAGTCGGGTGTTACAGTTTGTCTAGTTATTAAACCCAGTTTGCCATAATCTAGCTCATATTTGTGATGATTCTTTGTACTTCCAGCAGGACCAGAGTCTAATGTTGGTCCTAATTTTTACGTTTAATTGTTCATTAGATAAGAAACAGTAAATGGTATTGCGTGCACTGAAAACAATCCAAGTGAACCATGCGGCTCAGCACTTCTCTTTAAAACATAAACCCCTAAAATCTAAATTAAAACCCATTTCACCCATTTGTAATCATATAGAGAGATATTCTGCAGCTAAACGATGGTTTTCTGAACGTGACCACAGGGTTGAGAGATTCTTTTACTTGTTGTTACAGATGCAAAGGCAGAAAGGTTACCATACTGATCACGAAGACAAGGACGAGAAGCTTATCGGGGATTTTGACTATATGACCATGAAGTGAAAACTCCTTGGCCTTTTATGTTTCGTTTTCAAACCTTTCTTTCTGATTGTGATTGGTTTCAGACTGTTATTGTCCAGATCAGAACTCAGGCGATGCAGAAACTTAAGGCAGACGCCAAGGATAGACATGGAACCCTAAATTATCAACCACAATTGAACGCAAAATCGTAGAGGAAGAGGGTATGGAGTTTTGTTATGCCAGAAGAAGTTTTTTAGAGTGTTGTCTGAGTGATCTGAGTATAGAAGGATATATAATGGTGTAAACTGAGCTCTCGAGGTGTAGAGCTGGAGAATCAATGGAGGATGTATTATTTGAATGAAATTAAGAAAGAGTCAGTGATTCAAGAGCCGTGAAATTGCCAAAGATGGCCGTTTGGTTTAAAAAGAAAAGCTGTGTTGCTTCCACCGCTCCCAAGTCTCTTGCAGAGTCTTGGTCATGGAGGAAACCAAATAGAGTTGCTCCAATTTATTTTATTTGAAACTGTTGAATCGCACAGTAAAGAAACTCTAATGTAATAAAACAGAACACAAAAGCTTGTTTAAAATTTGTTGGGGCGGCGACAATGAACAAAAACTCACCTTATGTCTTTGGTCCATTATTGACCTTATTATGTGTTCAAGACACAATAACGTAAATAACAAAAACATCATTTCGGATCTTCTCAGTCAGTTTTAAGCCCTTTGCTCCACGTAAGACCCCGAGAGTCCTGATGTTCCAAGAACAGTAACCTACCGAAGAAAACCAAACCAAAATTCATGAATTTGGATAGCCTGGGTGATGCATGACGTTGTCGATCACTATGCAACCCACACTTGAATTAGGCTGTTCGAAATTATATATTTTGGCGAAGAAAAATTGCATTTACCTTTCCCCATTCTGAACCAAGCCCACTGCATCGCATCTTCAAGTGGATCATCTTTGTCCCCAACTCTGTCTCAACCTTCTTCTTCAAGTAAACTTCGTCAGGTCCAAACGCATCTAGGTAAGTAGCATACCTATGATAAGCAAGACGGAGCGCTTTGGTTATATCTTCTGGTAAGGTCTTCACATTCTATAACAAAATAATAAAACATCAAACATGTCAAAACCAAAAAAAAAAAAAAAAAACTGTGGTTGGTGACACAACAACAACAACAAACCTCCCCACTCATCCCAATGCTATCGTCGATTTCCATCTTTAGGGAATTGAGAATCCCGCCAAACTCCTCAACAGCTTCAGCTGCTCTGAACACATTGGTTACGGCCTCTTGCCCTGCCTTGTCGTCTGTGTTTTTCGAGACTGCCTTTTTGGCCTCGTTAACAACAGCAGAAGACAGCCCTGACCAGTCTGCAGCCATCAAGCCTTTGAAAGCATTCAGAACATCACTGTCTTTGATTTCAGGCATGTGCGACACATCTTCGCTGAAGTTGCGCACTTTTCCTATATCCATTGCTCGAGGATACAGACACACTGCATTTTTTTCACCACTAAGCAATGTCAAATACAAAGTGGGTAACATCTTGCGACCTGAACCAGCAATCAATGCCGTTCGCTTAAATATTTCAATGCGGCCAAATCAATCTCAAGAGAAGAATCAAAGAACAAGGAAACAAAATGATAATGAAACTGATCTAGAAGTCGTGATCAAGAACACCTAATCAACTTAGTCTATAAATCAAATTGTAGAGAGCAAACACACTAAACCTAAGATTCCACCAAAGCTAATTACTATTCAGTAAGTAGACGATCTTGTTCACCGGAAGGTATAGAAACACAGAGGGGACGAGTATAGTTTGATTACCGTAAGGAGTTCGATTTGAAGGAAAGGAAGAAACAGCGAAGAATCCTCGCGTGAAGAGGGAACGATTGCGCAGCAGAGGATTTGTTGCGGCGGATCTCGATGATCGGAGCGTAGCGACGGAGGCCGCCGCAGCTGTACGGCAAAGGGATCTCACAAGTAGCATCGTCGAATTTTCGTCGAAAGCTCTCTCAACATGCGGTATTCCGATGATGGTGACAACGTTTTGGAGTGTAGTAGATTGTTTGGGCCATGACCCTCTGAGCCCATTAAAGCTCATTGAAATGATATTTCTGTATATGTAGCAATCGCAGTTATAGTCGGTTGGACTGACATGGATATAATAATACTACTAAATTATTGCCGAGTCAAAAATCAATGGCAGCCCATTTAGTCCATGAATGTTTGTAGTTTTTAGTAAGGTTTCTAGATTTTGGGTTTTGATATTTGTTGATTTTGTTTTTTATTGCATTTTGTATGGAAAAAAAAGTCTGGAGAAACTAAATTTATATGTTTGTATCTTTTCTTAAGTGAGACAAACCAAAAATTCCTAGAAACTTTTTAAACATATAATGGATATACAGGTATATAAGTATATACGGATCAAAAATAAAGTTACTACATCCGGTCCGATCACTCTATTGAGGTGGTGCAAATCTGTTCAATTAGTCTGTGTAATGTAAGTTACATGATAATTTCTAAGTTCTTATGCAAGTGACTGAAAAAAGTTCATATAAAATGAGTATTGGAAATTCAATTAACATTTGTTATTGAGAGACTGATTACAAATAACATACTGATTACTCAAGAAATATTTTATGCACTCAGGGCGAAGTTTGAGATAACAACAAAAGGATAACTATCAAACCCATATTTAAATAAAAACTACAACAGAAGGGAACATGAATTCATTAGAGCTAAATGCAAGCTCTTGCCTTCTTGAAAAATAAGCTTCACGTAGAGCAAATGGTCAAGCAGATGGCTATCAAAAGGTGAAAATAAGATTCTCATCGAAGCGATTTCTTTAGTGTTCCAAACCTATGTTGTGTCGATCTTTGTGATGCCCCTAAACATTTGTGAAAAATTACCTAGTGTCATTGGAGGCTTCTGGTGGAATTTAAATCTGTCAAAAAGAGAATTTACTGGGGTAAATGAGAGAAACTATGCTTACCACGAGATGAGGGTGTCCTTGGATTCCGTATGATCCAAGATTTTAATTTGGATTTGTCGTGAAAACATTTATAGTGATGAAAACATTTCCAGACTGTTCTATATTACGAGCGATTTTTCTTGGAAATTATTATCGACTTAGCTCGGCTTTGCGAATAAGGTCAACTGATAACCCTTCTTATGGACAGACATTTCATCTGAAAGGACTTTATTAGTGCTAGGAGTAAGACAAAAGATTCATTCAGGCTATAAGGTCAAAGCATCAGAGGATCCTTGAATCTCGACTACACTTGCAAGGTTAGCCAGGCGTAGATTCTTAGTTGTTCACCCTAGAATGACTGTTAGTGGCTTCATTAATGATGATTCAAAGGAATGGGATGTGGAGATGTTGTAAAAATTTGTACACCCAGAGGACCTTCCTATAATTCGGAGCTTTCTAATAAGCCAAACAAATTATAGAGATAGTTATTGTTGGACTTTTGAAGAGTGGTCAGTATACTGTTAAGTCAGGATATTGAGAGGCTCGAAACATCCTTGAGCGAGAAACATATGTTTTCTATTCGGAACTCAACATCACTAAGCTTTAGGCCTTGCACTACAAGAAAATAGTCAAATTCCGAGGATCATTTTCCTCGAAAATATTTCGTCGGAAAAATATATTTTCTCGGAATTTCGTCAGAGACACCGAGAAAATACCGACGACTTCCGATGGACACATAATCCGACAAAATTCTGAGGAACAATATCCATCAGATTATTCCTACGGATATTTCGTCGGACTCTAACCGACGGAAGAGGTCCATCAGAAGTTTTCGACGGAAATACGGAGGGAGATCGTCCTTGGGATATTACGAGGAAATTGAGCCGTCGGAATTTTCAGAAGGAGCAGTGTCGTCGGAATATTCCGACGGCTCATGTTCATCGGAATTTTCCGAGGAACCTTCCGTCGGAATTTTACGAAGAACATTTCCTCAGAATATTCCGATGGCTTCACTTCCTCGGAAAATTTCAATTTTTTTTTATTTTTATTTTTTAAATAATATATAATAATTATTTTATTATTTTTAAAAAATATTTTTATAATAATTATTTGAAAATATAAAATTAAATATGAAATAGAAAACATATTATAATATTTTAAGTTTTAAAAATAGAAATACAAATTAAACATTCAAAGTTTTAAAAAACAAATAAAACCACCAACTAGAACTCGTGCGAGAACAGGCGTCGCATCATGTCCAACAACTCTTGGTTCTTCTTCTTTGTTTCCTCCACTTCACTTTGCTGATCTGCCATCCTAGCAAGAATGGCCTCGTTCTGGGTAAGAATGGTGGCGTTCTGGTTCTCCAATGCTACGATGCAGTCATCCTTGTTCTGTAGCTGCTCCATAATTCTCGGATCAACAAAAGCCGGTTATGAAGTAGAAGATATTGACTTGGAGCGACGAGCCAACCTGAACAAAGGCTTTTCTTCCTCGGAACCGCCTGAAAAAAAAAACATAAAATTGAAACAGTGAAAAAGACGATGAAATGAAAAAATAGTAAAAATTAAACTGTAAATTAAAATGAAGACCTTACCGACTCAACTATTTCGTTGATTGGAACTCCAGACAGGTTAGCGGAAGCATCAGTAGTGCCGTCATCGTCAGATTCAAGCTAAGATAGGCGTTGGATCTCTTTCTCCTTCTGGGTTTCGACCAAGTCGATCACCTCCTTCACAACAACATCTGAAATCTCTCCGGTCTTCTTGTTGGTATACGCCTCCCTCATTAGCACGAGGGAGTCAACCGGTTAACCATCCGCCTGAAAAAAAGCATTAAAATTTTAAATTGAAACGGAAAAATGAAATAAATAAAGAAAAACAGTCGACTTACTAGTCGATCCCCAAGAGTTGACATACTGCAAGCACCCATGTTGTTCTTGTAGGTGCCCTTCCCGCCACGTTCGCTCTTGCGGTTGGTGGAATTGTTGTCTGAGGTGTCTTGCGTCTCCGCCTTCTCTAAATGTGCTTGCAACTCGAGTCACACCGTGTCGTTGATCAATTTTGTTTTTTTTTCCTTGTGCCACTTTTGCTTCCACTCATAGATCTGCTTCCCAGAATTCTCCATGACTTTATGGATGAATGCATTACGGATATAGGCCGTATGAAAGGGATTCCAGTTGAATTCTTGCTAGAAAAAAACACAATTAGTACGTAGAAATTTATGTCAAAGATTAAAAATGTAACTTAAAATTTTTAAAACAAATACGGCAAACTGACGGAACCAAATCTCCTGATCCTCGAGAGGGAAGGCGGTGTAAGTAGGATATCCCTTTTTGAGGGTCGAGTACATCATCCGAATGATGAAGGCGCTTATTCCGTTCTGCGACCGGTCGAACCTAAAAAGAAAAAAATTAAGAATCAAGTAACATATAATGAAAAAAAAAAGATAAAATTAAAAACATTCTAACGATTTTTGGTGTCGGCCCATTGCCTGAGGAGTGAGAAAGAGAAGATGCTCTTGACCAGGCTGTTGAACCAATTGTTCAACAGTCATGCTACCCGAAACGACTGAAGGAGCTTGAGCTGGAGCGGGAGGAAAATCGTCGAGATATTGGTTTTGCGAAGATGCAGAACCACGAGAGGTGCCCGTCGTACCACCATGATCACCACCACGACCTCATGGTGTGTAACGGCGAGACCTTGCCTGGCTATCGCTACCAGACCTGCAAAAATTAAAAAATATATATTTTAAATAAAATATAAAAAAATAAATAAAAATATCTTTTTACAAATATAGAAAATGTTTTATAAATCCAAAAATAGATTTAATAAATCAAAAAAATAGTTTTAATAAATCCCAAAATAGTTTTAATAAATACAAATATATTTTTACGAATATAGAAAAAGTTTAATAAATCCAAAAAAGTTTTAACAAATCCAAAAATAGTTTTAATAAATCCAAAAATAGTTTTATCGAATATAAAAATAGTTTTATAGATATAGAAAAAGTTTAATAAATCTGAAATTTTTTTATAAATCCATAAATAGTTTTTATAAATCAAAAATAGTTTTAATAAATATAAAAAGTTTTATAAATATAGAAAAAGTTTAATAAATCCGAAAATAGTCTTACTAAATATAAAAATCTTTTATAAATCCAAAAATTGTATTTATATACAAAAAATGTTTTGATAAATATTAAATCCCTAATAATAAATACAAAAATAATAAAAAAATTTAGAAAAAAATTACAAATCAATTTAATACAACAAATTATCCTAACAAAATCACAATCCTAGCCTATCAAAATCACAATCTACCAATCACCCTAGCAAAATTCTATCAAAACAATTTCAAAATCATCAAACCTATTCCAAAACCTAAACAAAAGGAACCTAAGAGAAGGGGAGAAAATAGAAGCTTTTGCTGGAATTGTCGAGAGAAAGGAGAGAGAGCGTCGGAGAGGAAATATTGAGAAAGATAGGAGAAAAGGGGAAAAAGAAACTGTGAGAGAGATATATCAGAACATTTCTGTCGAAAATCGAATTAAGTGATTTCCGGCGGAATTCTGAAGAACCTTTCCGTCGAAAATCACTTAATTCGATTTTCGCAAAAATTTTAGCGGTTCAAATTCCTAGTTAAATAAAAAAATTTGAGAAAATTCCGACGATCCCTTTAATATCCGTCAGAATTTCTCCGGAATTACTATTAATTGGTCAAAACCGAGTTCCAAGAAAAGAATATGCCCTTTTCCTCGGAATTTCCTCAGAATATTCCGAGGAATTTCCAAGGAAAAGGGCATATTCTCTGCATGTCTTTATATTGGCTCGATTTGTTCCTCAGAAGTTTTTCGGAAATTTCTGAGGGAACCTTGTTTGTGATTTTAAAACCTCGATTTTTTAGACCCTAAATAATTCATTGCACAATTTTAATTTTGTTGAATACATAGCATTCCTGATTCTTTCTATAGATGTGCATAAAAAATAAAAATACAAATTTTCAAAATTGATTACAAGTATTACCGTTTCCGTTTGTTAAAGTGTTAAGTGTTTATCTTATGTTGTATGAAGATCAGTCATACAATCGGAAAAAAGTTCATTAGTGCGAGACAAACAAACATTTGGACTC